AAGTGTTTAAGGTTAGTTTTAAGGTTCCGGGTTATATTGTTGCAATCGAGATCTGTATTGTACACGTGCTTTGGATACAGCGAACTATTATTATCTCTGTAATTTTGCATGCTACTATTTGTACCGTGAAGTTGGAACCCCTCGAAATAGAATCTGTATAAAGACGCGAAATAGCTTAATTGGAAAATTATATCAACTTTTGTTACTTTATCCTGTCTGCCTTTGTGGTGAATTCTAATTTAGCACACTTTCACACTATAAACAAAAACACATGCAGTGCAAGTCAAAACACGTCGCGTTATTAACGCAAAGTGTCAACTATAGGTCCAAGGTCACACGCACCAGCGCCGACTGGTACGAAAGTTGAGATCCGTATCCGTATTCGTATCCGCGGATCTAGACTCTAATGATCTGTATCCGTATCCGTATCCGCGTATATACATTTTTACGATCCGGCACATCACTAATATACATATATGTTAACTCTGTCAAAATTTCCCCATGGTGTTGTTTTTTATTTTCTTTTAGACCAAGATCCTCTATTATTTTTGCAATGTTAAATATTATTTATATGCCCAATTTTTCTTTATTACTAGCATATTTTCTGTAATAAATTATTATTAACTTATTTATTAATTTAAAGATGTTATATAAACCTTATTTTTTTCTTATCTCGAATAAATTTCCTTTAATGCTGTCAAACATGAAAATTACTATTGTAACATATAAATTAAAGGAAAGAAATTATTTATATAATATTCTTTTATTATAAAATTAGTATAGCTAAGGTATATAGATTTAAATTTATGCATACAAAAGTTTAAATATTAATTATACAAATAAAGAAAAGAATGAATAGAACCATTGAAACTTATATGTGTAAATTTTGATTTAGAAATTACTAGTCAAAAACGATAATTTCTGCTTTGTTTATGCTATAAATTATTAGTATATACTGAAATAAATATGTTTATATACTATACTTTTATATATATATTTTTTATAATTTGCAGCATTGGTAGTAAAAGATTACATTAGAAAGGTACAGTATTTTTTAATAAAGGAAATTATTAATAATTAAATAATAAAAAAAATGTATAAATAGTTTAATGCACATTGTTATCTTTTGATTCCTACATATGTTCTTTAATATATATCATATTTTAGAAATACATTAGAAGTTTACAATCCGTTGTGTTGCTCTTAACACGGTATATGCATTCGCACACGTGACAGCACAAACATATCTTCATTTTGTTTACGTAAGGTATTTAAGACTTGGTTTATATATAATACAATTTAATTTTTACATAAAATTTGAACACTAGCTTGTTTTTACTACCGGTCTCATCACCAGCGGATTCAGAAATCTTACAGAGGGGAATGCAGAATGAAAACAATATGCTTTTCAATCAATCAGGTATATATGGCTTTACTCGAGAAAAAGTCCAGAAGGGGGAAATCGTGCCCTGCACACCCCTAAATTCGCCCGTGGGCTCATTGCTTTGTTTCCTATACAGAACTTTAATAAGTCTGGAGCTTAGTGGATTAGAGAACTTTACTCTGGTATAATTTTGAGACCAAACTATTGCCAAATTATGTCGGACTATATTACTACTACTACAACTACTACTACTATTATTAATAGAATACTAAGTAATTTCGCACTAGAGACATAATATCAGTAGTAGTAACACGATATAATTCGGCAATCGTTTGACTTTAAATGAATATGTGTTCGAATGCTTCTTTCCCAAACAAAAATTTTACAATAGATGAAATTTCAGTAATTTTCGATTAAGTAATTGTAGTTAATATAACAGTATTTAAAATGACGGAATTGTAAAACTCAAAATTTTAAGTTTTCATTTCTTAGAATTTAGTAAATTGTTTTTATTTTTTACTTTTTTAAATTGCTCTATTAATTTATTAATATATTGGTATAAATAAGATGAGTTAATTGCCTTACTCACGATTTTTAGAAAGGCTATTTTGGGGGTTGAAATCCCGTCCTTTGCGGCGAAGTGAGGGTTGGTGGGGAAGAGGCTCAGCATTAGAATTTCTAACCATAATTCGAAATGAACTTATTCCGTTTATGTATCAAGAAAAGCAGGCAAAAACAAAGACTGATAAGAACAGTTTAAAAAAGAAGAAGGAATAGTGTGATTAAGCATCTTTCGAGACATTCAGATTGGTGTACAACACTTCTTGAAGGAGAAGTTCGGGAAAAACCACGAATAAATAGATCTAAAACAAAATACATGGATGACGTAAATGAAAAGAGACCTTACTGTGTGATTAAACAGCTGGCTAGGATAGGAAAATGTTAGGAAAGTGAAATGTTGCCCATTAATCAGAAATTAACAGAGAGAAGAGAGAGAGAGAGAGAGAAAGAATTTTGGTACGAATTGCGTTTGTAATTCTATAATTTTCTTATTAAAAAAATGTATAAAAAATTTCCGAGACAGTGATTTATATTGATTTTAAAGCAGCGTGCATCCATCTCAATCAATCTCACTAGTCTAGTTCTTTTAATTTCGCAGATAATTTACACACAGACAAACAGACGGACGAACAAATTTAACGACTGAATAGACAAAGCGCATATAAATAAAGGATTTTACATATAATTCCAAAAAAAAAAANTACCTTACTGTGTGATTAAACAGCTGGCTAGGAAAGGAAAATGTTAGGAAAGTGAAATGTTGCCCATCAATCAGGAATTAACAGAGAGTAGAGAGAGAGAGAATTTTGGTACGAATTGCGTTTGTAATTCTATAATTTTCTTATTAAAAAAATATATAAATAATTTCAACTTGATTTTTCTTTTAGCTTTTATTTATATCTAAGTTTCAAAATTAAAAATTTTTCGTTATATAAATAGAAATTATCATTGCCTTATTATTCAGAACTCCTAATTTCGATTATTTAAAATATATTCATTTTCAAAATAAACAAATATAAACGTATCATTTCATTCATTTAAACAAATTCTTTTAAATATTTACTTTTTATTTGACTTAAAAATAGTTTTACTATTCAGAAATGGCAAAATTTATTAATCCTGTTTAACATAGTAAGAATAGAATGATTATAGTTCATAAAATATTCACATAAATTGTGTTTATCTTATTTGTTAAATCGTCTAATCAATGAGACATTTCTCATGAATGAATTCCACTTTTCATTTCCAATTAGTTAAATATATACGTTACCAAGATATATATTTTGGCACTGTAATAATTTATGTTTGTGTTTAATTTTGGGTTTTTCCATAAACATTTCAAGAAAAAATTAATAATATCTTATTTTAATTGTGACCCAAACTGAGTAGACCTCAATCTACAGGTTGGGAACTTTTATTTCTTAATAAATTAATTTAAAAAAATTATTATATATCTTACTTATAATTCTTTGTAAACTTCGAAAATAATTTCGCGTAATTTAGTTTTTAAATTATTTTATCGTATATAAATAATATTTATTTAGTTATTATTATAAAATAATTATTAAGAGAAAAATATTTAATTAATTTTTAAATAATTTTTTTTAGAATTTAAAGAATTATTTAGAACAAAAAATAAATAAATAATTTGAAAAAATTTGGCTTAAACTTTTAAGGTACGTCTTTCGGTGCCATCTATCAGTTGAAATCAAAACTAAACTTGTATATAAAGTCCTGAACAAACTTACCAGTTCTTGGAGGGCAAAGCACTTGGATGCCTTCCAATTTCTTGCAGAATGTTGCCCCCTTTGTGGGTTTGGTTGGACTCATAATCGGCATAGAATAAGACCCTCTTAATGCCCACAGGCCTGAAAGAACAAAAAATAAATAAATAATTTGAAAAAATTTGGCTTAAACTTTTAAGGTACGTCTTTCGGTGCCATCTATCAGTTGAAATCAAAACTAAACTTGTATATAAAGTCTTGAACGAACTTACCAATTCTTGGAGGGCAAAGCACTTGGATGCCTTCCAATATCTTGCAGAATGTGGTTCCTGCATTGAAAATGACGGGTTCTATAAGAAATAAAGGCTTGTCCACAAGAGATAATTGAGCTGTTGATCGAATCTAGAAGAGACAGAAGACGAATAAGTCCTCCAAATAATAAGATTTTCTACGAATTAGGCCCTATTATTGTCTTCTTAATGCTATTTTAATTCATTTTTCTTCTTAACAATATTAACTTATTTTCACAAATTACTTCGAAAATAGAATGCCCTTTATTTATGTAATACAAAAACTTTCATTCACAGTTTAATCTATCTATATATATAGTAGGTCTTTTATTAAATTTTTAAATTTTTAAAAGCTGAAAACTTGTGATAAATAAAGTATATCTTGTAATTATAGATTTATAATAAAATAATACGTGAAAAACTACTGTTAGTGTATTATTTATAGTAAAAAACATCATTAATTTCTAAAAATAAAAGGGTTTAAGGATTGTAAATGTTAATATCTTCACTTCAAATTACATTGACTATAAGTAATGTTTTACATGTATTTATATTTATAAATAATTTTAATATTTATTAAGAAATTAAGTAAATGCAACAGATTTTTGAAGTGCTAATTTAGTATAATAAAAAAATATAAATTATTATTTGTTAAATTAAAAACTTTAATGCACTCGGAATATTTATAACATTTTGAGTAATTTATAAACTATTTTTGAGCTATTCTAAGCATTTTTATGTCCGAAACAACTGAAAAAAAATCCAGCAACGAGTTGCTTAATTTTCCTGGCAACATTTAAAACTGCGTGTGGCGCCATCTGTTATGATATTTTACTAAAAAATTTTTATATTTTCAATTATTATAAAATGGCAAAAAGCTTAATTTTGATTGTAGGGATAAGTTTTATTTTAAAAAAATTGTAAATGCTAATAACGAGTAAAATCGTCCATTCCTACTCAAGATATGACACATGACCCCTATATAGCCCCCTCGGCCTTTAACAACCAAAATTTAATAACATCAATCTTCCTAATATACAATATAAATATATAATACCCTATAATATTTCATAAATTCTCGCCAGAAAACACAGGGGCTATTAAACTTCAAAGAAGGTGAACAAAATCGTGCTTCCCCAACACACACACACACACACAGGGACGTCCCGATACTTTAAGACCGATACCAATACCGGTATCGATACTTTTGTAGTAGAGAAACATCCATAGTTATGACAGGAGCTATATATCAGAAATACGTGAGCGTTGGATCATNTTAAAACTGCGTGTGGCGCCATCTGTTATGATATTTTACTAAAAAATTTTTATATTTTCAATTATTATAAAATGGCAAAAAGCTTAATTTTGATTGTAGGGATAAGTTTTATTAAAAAAAATTGTAAATGGTAATAACGAGTAAAATCGTCCCTTCCTACTCAAGATATGACACATGACCCTATATAGACCCCTCGACCTTTAACAACCAAAACAAAATCGTGCCCCCAACACACACACAGGGACGTCCCGATACTTTAAGACCGATACCAATACCGGTATCGATACTTTTGTAGTAGCGAAACATCCATACTTATGACAGGAGCTATATATCAGAAATACGTGAGCGTTGGATCGTGTTACAATAGTATTTTATATTGTATATAGTTAAAATATTTGTAGTTATCACTGTTACTTTATAACTGGTACGTTCATAAAGACTTTATAGAATTAAAGAAATTTTAGTACAGTTTATTGATTGAATTAGGTGACATTATGAATTAGTTTATATTAATATAAAACATCAATTTAATTTAAANGGTGAACAAAATCGTGCTTCCCCAACACACACACACACACACAGGGACGTCCCGATACTTTAAGACCGATACCAATACCGGTATCGATACTTTTGTAGTAGAGAAACATCCATAGTTATGACAGGAGCTATATATCAGAAATACGTGAGCGTTGGATCATGTGTTACAATAGTATTTTATATTGTATACAGTTAAAATATTGTAGTTATCACTGTTATTTTATAACTGGTACGTTCATAAAGACTTTATAGAATTAAAGAAATTTTAGTACAGTTTCTTGATTGAATTAGGTGACATTATGAATTAGTTTCTATTAATACAAAACATCAATTTACAGTCGATCCCCCTATAAGATCATTGATTTTTCCGTTTTATCTGAATTACATGTTGTACGAGTCACTTAGATTTTACAAATACGTGTGCCGGGCTGTGAACGGCTCACATATTTGTAAAATCTAAGTGACTCGTACAACATGTAATTCAGATAAAACGGAAAAATCAATGATCTTATAGGGGGGTCGACTGTATA